ATACAGTACTGTAATTTTATACATTTCTTGTGAAAGAAACATTCCTTATTCAACGGCGATTAAAATTATTTATATTAATGATGTCTCCAAAGTACAACGAAGTTTTCGCAGAAAAATAACATCAGAAATCGCGGCCGCGGTTTGCTGAACTGTTCCGCGACGAAAACAAGCTTGAGCAACAGCGATGTCGAATGGTGCACACTCGGTAAGTAATCCTACAATTTTTTGTTTATAGCATAGTTTATACGGATTATTTCCAAAAAAAAAATATACGTATTTTGGAAATGTTGAGTTGGATTAATCTAGAATCGATTAATTTTATGGAAGAAAACTTTTCAAACAGCCGTAGTCCGTAAAGTGCATACGTGTTGGGCTGTGATTGGCAAGGACTCATACGAAATCGATTCATAAAGGACAGAACGTATCTACCGTCTTATGGGGGGGGTCGACTGTACATATTTTCCAAAGTCATGTACTGTCAGCATTATTCTCCATTTGATGTTTTGGTTAATTTACCATTTGCTTTGGCATATTCTAAAACTAATGGAGATTATTGGAAAGAGACTGGAAAGTATGGTTTCTTGGTTCTCAAACAATGAAAGAGTCTCTGATTTATTATTAAGTAGTAAATTATTTTATGCTTTTGACAAATGTGTGCAAGATATGAAGAGATGAATATTTGGTTCCTTCAAATGAAATAGACTTGAAAGTACAATGCAAGTATGCAACTTATTGTAATATATATGGATTTACAGAGACGGTACACTTGACACTGAAGTATGCTCCTTTCCAAGTGTACGGAGGTGCCCTATTCTCCTCCAATATCATCAGTGTTGCCACTATAGTCTAGGTTTCATTTGAAGGAATAAAATACTTTTATCCTTGTGAATGGAAGTTGAATCCAAAAGTGATTTATTATTGAAATCCATTTAGAAAAACTAAGTTTTAATTGTAAGGATTAATTTAAATTATTTTATATGAAAAAAGACATGATGGTACAGTTCTCATCAGACCAATTTTAATCCAAGATTGATTACTTAGAAGACAATACTTAAAAATATTTATTAGTAATTAAAATAATTTTCTCTTCGATCATTTATATTTAAAAATATACATCTTTAATACAATATGGAACCTATAATATGTTTTTTTTATTAAATTTCATCAGATAAAAAAGAGGTTATGGATTTTTTGAAGGTTTATTTAGTCACTCAATTCAGAAAATATGTCAGTCATAATGTTTTAAATCTCATTTCTAATGTCAGATTTAAAAGATAATGTTAATGGAAGATAAAAGACTTCAAATATTAAATGAATAGCCAACTATTTATGAAGTTATTAAGACTAAATACTACAAGTATTGTAATTTGTCCGGAGATAGACAGTTATGCCACCATCTCCATTTAAAGTAAATTTTCATATAAATAAATATTAATTATACAGACCATTATGGTATATAATGGATATTTGAAAAGTGTCATTATAAAAAATTCTTATATTTCAGCATATAAAAAAATTTTAATAAAGACCCCATACAGTAAAAATGGTTAAATTTTACCTACTTGCACCATCATGGCAGCAGTCGCAACTGTTAGTGCTCCCGACTGACTCCTCGTTCAAGCCTACCGTGAATCAATAACTAGTGATGTTATACACTTGGCAGCCTGCTGGCGACTCATCTCTGGGAGGAATCAGGCAGGAGCACAAACAGTCGCAACCATGGCCATGACGGGGCACATAGGTAAAATTTGACTGTAAAAATCATTATTGGCTTTAATAAGCCTGACTAAATATACCACTACCTTTATCTTCATCATTGTTTGCTTATTTATCTGATCTAAGCAGCTGCATTATGCTGGGTAATTCTTTATTTTTTTATCTCGGCATAAGGACTACCATATTATTATCACATTACCTGTCAATTTCTGTCCATCTACTTCCCTCCTTGCCAGTCTAGCTTGAAGTCTCTGTATTGACTCTTACATTTCCAAACAAACCTCAATCACAATGGAAGGAAACTATGGGAAAGGACTGAATAAGTGATGTAATCAAACTCCTGTTTATTTATACTTTCATAAGAAAGTGTGTGCAACTGCTGTTTTCATAGGGACACAGAAGGCTGCTAACTTGAAAAAATGGAATACATAGTTTGTTTCCTTGAACTTAAAAGATATTGATCTAATGTAATAGCAATAGATATTTTTCTATTCAAATATGAAACTGAAGATGTTAGATGTTTTGAGATTGGAACAAAAGTGTTTCTTAGCAGAATTTTTGAGCCCCAAAGTAAGCATTTTTAAACATTATTTTAATACAAATAAAAACTTTTTGTAAATGTAAGCATAGCAACTGTTTGAAATTTTTATTGTAAAAGTTGTAATTAAAAAACAAAAAAAAAATTAAAAAATTTCATTATGGNTCAAGAATTAACGCGATTGGCAAAGCGTAGTGACAGTGGGCCAATAGAGAGCAGGGTCCTTCCCATAATGCGGTTTGCACACCAATTTTTGTATGTGCGTTAATCAAGCCGAATAGTTTGGCCGATTTTCGGCTATTCGTTGCAACACTAGTTTCTAGTTATGCTACCTAGCCTCTGTCTGATTTTCACCTGCAGAACTATTAATTTAGATATAAGCATGAAGGTCACTCATGGCACTGACTGAGGACAACTTTAAGCACCCACAGCACTCCTCCAGCTATTGCTTTACCTTTAGTGTGTGTATAAACAACAACACAATAAATCTATATATATATATCATGCTGACCAAAGTAAATAGCTGGTTGAGTGGCATGGAGGTGGGGCTGTGGAAGTTAAAGTCATTCTCAGTTGGCACCATAAGTGACCTGTATAGTTACATCTAAATTAATAGTTCTGCAGGCAATAATCAGAAAGAGGTTTGGGTAGCATAACTGGAAACACATCTGCATGGTAAGTGAAAGTTGTAAGTTTGAATCCCATTCTGGACAAAATCTTTTCTTTCAGAATCTTCTAAATTAAAATTAATTTATAATAATCATCACAAGATGGCAGCTTAACTGCCTACCTCTACCTCTAGGCAAATTAGGCTAGGTTAATGATTAGAAAAAAGTAATCCAATAATTTGAGATATTGTCTGGCTTAAATAAAAACAACTCAATAAACCCAATTTTTGATTAATCTGTTATATTCTTTAGTAATTGGATTTATTGAAATTATCAGGTAATAATTAACTAATTGATATAAATAATTAAATATTTGTATACTCACTCTGCAACAAAAGGAAGAGGAGTCCATTTAGAATGATCGGCATCTGGCATACATTCTCTGTTCATGGGAGTGTCTAATGTGATTGGAAGTATTGCTAGTGAGTGCGAGTTTGGAGGAAGACCACTTTTAGATGAGGCCAGACTGTCCACCAGCTGGTGAACGGCTGCTTTGGCTAAACCATAGCCTATCATTCCTAGGGAAAAATTATTACCAGAGTAAAATTTAATAGTTTAAATCACAGCTACAGTTTGATATCTTGAAAAATAATTCCATAGCCAGTTTAAGAAAAACAAAATGGTAGATGATACATGAGAATTTTAATAACAATAAGTAGAAAAATAGATTGAATAGTTCTCTTTTATAATTTCACTAAAGAGTTATTTAATTAAAAATTTTTATCTAATGTAATTGGTGATGAAAGATTGATAAAAATAAAATGGGTACATTTTATTTGGGAAACCCTGTAACACCTGATGATTCACTTAATTTTCTCTCCTTTTCAGGTTTAAGCAATTTGAAATGGATACAGCCAGACTAAACTATGAACAAAGGAAATTTATCCTGAAGTGCTACTGGAAGATTCAAACTGTCTTTGCACTTCAATTGCATTATCAAACAGATCCACCTATGCAACTTACTTTGTATTTGTCTCTTGAATTAGAGATAAGTCTGAAAAGAAGAATCTCACTTTTAAAAATAAAATTGTAAGTACTATGCTAAAAGATTGATTTTGTGTTGGTTATATAGCATTAGTTGAATATTAAATCTATAATATTAATCTACAGGGTCATTATAATTAAAGTTCCACTTTGAAATGGCCATAAAAGGAAAACTACTGGACAGAATGTTATCAAACTTGGTAATAGTTTACAGGAAGTCGTGGGATTTTATTTTCCACAAAAAAAAAGTTCAAAAACTCACCACCAGCAGGAAATGGTGCTGTATGCATTATTATTAAATGAAATAAGACATGAAGACATTGGTTGAAAATGTTTTTAATCGTTTCTAAAATGTGTTACAAAGCATGTTCAATGTGACGTCCACCATTTTCTGAAAGCAAGTTAAATTCCTCCTGATATGCTAGCAACTACTGTTGAGAACACAGTAAAGGAGAATGAACACATGCAGTGTGGCAAGGAAAAGCAGTGTTGCAAACATATCTTCGCTGCATGGCAGCACAACCACACAAGCAGCAATCTGCTTACATTTTGGATGCGTTCAGTATTCAAGATAGCGAACGATACTGACACTGCCGCTATCCACATGTTTACAAATTTTGTTTTGTATGGCTTGCTTTATTTAGTTAGAGGATTTTGTTGAAGATTCAAACAAAGATTTTGGATTAGATATATTTTCTTAGATGGAGAAAGAACTGGTGTACAAAATACACATGTTCCTCCATTAAGATCTCTCAATAAAGAATACTATTTCGAGTAAAATTTGGTTGTTTTGTTCTTTGAATTAAATTATATAAGACTATTTGTAAAGAATTTGTGTTAAATTTATTATCTTTTCCTCTTTATTCTGATGTTAGTTATCTCAATTAACAGCGTCGAATTTTCCACCATTAAAACACCATGTGATTGTATTTTCTCACATGACTACTAAACAAACTGTTATTGTCTGATAGAAATGTGTCTTGGTAGTGGTTGCCACAAAAGGTAGAATTCAACCAACTTTTGTGGCACGAGAAAAGCAGCACAAAATCAACTTCTGTGGAAAGAAAAAGTGACATCATTCTGCCATGCTGCATATGTGCTTCCTCCTTGCTTTCAGAAAATGGTAAATGCCACATTGAATTTCATGTCTTATTTCATTTAACAATATTTCCAGCTGGTGGTGAGTTTTGAATTTTTTTTGCGGCAAATAAAATCCCACAACTTCCTGTAAACTATTACCAAGTTTGATAACATTCTGACCAGTAGTTTTCCTTTTATGGCCATTTCAAAGTGGAACTTTAATTATAATGACCCTGTATATACATGAAAATACAGATTCACTGTTATAACTCACAGCAGCATATAATCTGAAGAAAATTTCTAAAATGAAATTAAAATCTTCACATAACATATTCCTTTCAAATAAACATTACTGTTTGTACATAGATAACCAATGGGAATTATGATTACCTGGTGTTCCTTCCAAAGCAGCTTTTGCTCCAGTTAAAGTTAACAATCCACCATTTTTCAAATATTTGGCAGCCAATTGTGCAGAAATGACTGATGTCCAAACACTCTGTTTCCACATCAGATCTGAAGAACCCACAAGATCTACAAACAAAGTTAAAAATGACTATTTTAAAAAATGTTTTCATATATTATTATTATTAATTGCTTTAAATAAACAATATTTTGTGTTACACTTACAATCAAAAATCTAACCTGTTACCGGAGTGTATCTTATAAAAGATCATCCCACAAACGCTTTCAAACTTTATGAAGTTCTTCTTCAGGTGGAAATGGAATACTTCAGAAAAAATAGAACAGGAGATTTTAAATCAAAAAGTTTGCCAAATCTTTGAACTTTTCGATTTGAAATCTCATGTTCTATTTTTTCTCAAGTACAGTCGACCCCCTATAACATGGTAGATACATTCTGTTCTTTATGAAATTGATGTTTTACGAGTCCTTGAATACATGAGCCAATCACAGCCCAGCACATATGCAGTTTACGGACTACGGCTGTTTGAAAGGCTTTATTCCAAAAAATTAATCGATTCTAGACTAATTTGACTCAACATTTCCAAAACACACATAATTTTTTGGGAATAATCCATATAAACTATGCTATAAACAAAAAATTATAAGATTGCTTACCGAGTGTGCACCGTTTGACGACGCCATTGCTTAAGCTTGTTTTCATTGTGGAGCTTGTCATCGAATGGCGCTCGCGTGCTTCCTGATAAACTATTTTTTTTTTTGCAAAAAATTCACTGAACTTTGGAGACATCATTAATATAAATATAATTTTTATGGACATTAAATAATAAATGGTTTTTAGTAGGTCCGATGCTCGTTTAAACTCAACAGTTTGTACAATATCTGCTATTGGTCTAGATTCAACCAATCCTGTTGCGACACGAGTCATCAATGATGTTTTACTGAATTATACGAGTCTTTTTAAGCAAGTTTGTATGAATACTGTCGCAATTTTTTCGCTGTGATATAGGAATCTGAACTATATGAACCCGTATTATAGGGGAGTCTACTGTATTCCATTTCCACCTGAAGAAGAATTTCATAAAGTTCGAAAGCGTTTGTGGGACGATCTTTTATAGGATAAATGCCGTTAACAGGTTCGATTTTTGACTGTAAGTGTAGTATACTTCTGGTGTCAGTAAAGGGTTGAACAGTATATTATTTTGTGTTATATATTTTTTAGAAAATGAAAAATAAAATAAAATAATTTTTATGACTGAGAAAATTAAGTTTGATAAAAAATGAAAGATAACAATGCTTCAGATTTATACAAGCTTGAATTGGTACTGAATTCATATTTGGGGACTTGCAGTTTAGGTAAAAAGCTCAAATTTGAGGCTGTTCTACAGACCTACAGTGTTTATGTCCTGTCAATTTACTTCTAACTCATAATCTATCATAAAATCTTTAAGAATTACATTATAAAAAGTCCCACTAACTTTATAATACTAATTGTAACAACTGCACTTGCAGTACAAGTGCTAATTTTTACTACAAATTTTAAGATGAAATTATTATTATTGGATTTCACTACAAACAATTATTACATTACTATTGATTATTATTATGTTTAGGCATATGATTAGTCTGGTTTTCAGTTATATTACTAGTATTGAATTAATAGAACTAATGTATACCCAAACTTGCAAATGAAGAATGACACCACTGGCTAGATGTAACACCAGACGGCTTTCTATACTTGTGTTATTTTTAATCATGGAGACATTTGGTTTTTACACTAATAAGAAAATGTATAAATGAAGATAGGTAGTACAGTAGACCCCCCTATAATACGGGTTCCTATAATTACGATTCCTATAAGACAGCGAAAAAATTGCGACGGTATCCGTAAAAAACAGTAAAAAAAACTCCTATAATTACATAAAACGCCATCGGGCAGCCGAACTATTTTCTGCCGTCAAGCGCCACGCTATGGAGAGATTACTATCGTCTGTACAGTATTATATATAAATTAGTTACTGTATATATAATTATATATTAACTTAATTTATTGTAACTTTATTATAATTATATATATGATCGACGCTNCTCCAAAGTACAACGAAGTTTTCGCAGAAAAATAACATCAGAAATCGCGGCCGCGGTTTGCTGAACTGTTCCGCGACGAAAACAAGCTTGAGCAACAGCGATGTCGAATGGTGCACACTCGGTAAGTAATCCTACAATTTTTTGTTTATAGCATAGTTTATACGGATTATTTCCAAAAAAAAAATATACGTATTTTGGAAATGTTGAGTTGGATTAATCTAGAATCGATTAATTTTATGGAAGAAAACTTTTCAAACAGCCGTAGTCCGTAAAGTGCATACGTGTTGGGCTGTGATTGGCAAGGACTCATACGAAATCGATTCATAAAGGACAGAACGTATCTACCGTCTTATGGGGGGGGTCGACTGTACATATTTTCCAAAGTCATGTACTGTCAGCATTATTCTCCATTTGATGTTTTGGTTAATTTACCATTTGCTTTGGCATATTCTAAAACTAATGGAGATTATTGGAAAGAGACTGGAAAGTATGGTTTCTTGGTTCTCAAACAATGAAAGAGTCTCTGATTTATTATTAAGTAGTAAATTATTTTATGCTTTTGACAAATGTGTGCAAGATATGAAGAGATGAATATTTGGTTCCTTCAAATGAAATAGACTTGAAAGTACAATGCAAGTATGCAACTTATTGTAATATATATGGATTTACAGAGACGGTACACTTGACACTGAAGTATGCTCCTTTCCAAGTGTACGGAGGTGCCCTATTCTCCTCCAATATCATCAGTGTTGCCACTATAGTCTAGGTTTCATTTGAAGGAATAAAATACTTTTATCCTTGTGAATGGAAGTTGAATCCAAAAGTGATTTATTATTGAAATCCATTTAGAAAAACTAAGTTTTAATTGTAAGGATTAATTTAAATTATTTTATATGAAAAAAGACATGATGGTACAGTTCTCATCAGACCAATTTTAATCCAAGATTGATTACTTAGAAGACAATACTTAAAAATATTTATTAGTAATTAAAATAATTTTCTCTTCGATCATTTATATTTAAAAATATACATCTTTAATACAATATGGAACCTATAATATGTTTTTTTTATTAAATTTCATCAGATAAAAAAGAGGTTATGGATTTTTTGAAGGTTTATTTAGTCACTCAATTCAGAAAATATGTCAGTCATAATGTTTTAAATCTCATTTCTAATGTCAGATTTAAAAGATAATGTTAATGGAAGATAAAAGACTTCAAATATTAAATGAATAGCCAACTATTTATGAAGTTATTAAGACTAAATACTACAAGTATTGTAATTTGTCCGGAGATAGACAGTTATGCCACCATCTCCATTTAAAGTAAATTTTCATATAAATAAATATTAATTATACAGACCATTATGGTATATAATGGATATTTGAAAAGTGTCATTATAAAAAATTCTTATATTTCAGCATATAAAAAAATTTTAATAAAGACCCCATACAGTAAAAATGGTTAAATTTTACCTACTTGCACCATCATGGCAGCAGTCGCAACTGTTAGTGCTCCCGACTGACTCCTCGTTCAAGCCTACCGTGAATCAATAACTAGTGATGTTATACACTTGGCAGCCTGCTGGCGACTCATCTCTGGGAGGAATCAGGCAGGAGCACAAACAGTCGCAACCATGGCCATGACGGGGCACATAGGTAAAATTTGACTGTAAAAATCATTATTGGCTTTAATAAGCCTGACTAAATATACCACTACCTTTATCTTCATCATTGTTTGCTTATTTATCTGATCTAAGCAGCTGCATTATGCTGGGTAATTCTTTATTTTTTTATCTCGGCATAAGGACTACCATATTATTATCACATTACCTGTCAATTTCTGTCCATCTACTTCCCTCCTTGCCAGTCTAGCTTGAAGTCTCTGTATTGACTCTTACATTTCCAAACAAACCTCAATCACAATGGAAGGAAACTATGGGAAAGGACTGAATAAGTGATGTAATCAAACTCCTGTTTATTTATACTTTCATAAGAAAGTGTGTGCAACTGCTGTTTTCATAGGGACACAGAAGGCTGCTAACTTGAAAAAATGGAATACATAGTTTGTTTCCTTGAACTTAAAAGATATTGATCTAATGTAATAGCAATAGATATTTTTCTATTCAAATATGAAACTGAAGATGTTAGATGTTTTGAGATTGGAACAAAAGTGTTTCTTAGCAGAATTTTTGAGCCCCAAAGTAAGCATTTTTAAACATTATTTTAATACAAATAAAAACTTTTTGTAAATGTAAGCATAGCAACTGTTTGAAATTTTTATTGTAAAAGTTGTAATTAAAAAACAAAAAAAAAATTAAAAAATTTCATTATGGGTAACAGAATAAGATTTATAAAGCTGTGACAATTATATAATATAATCAAGTGAACAAAAACTGATCTTCACTGATATTTCCATTAAAATTCATATAATTATTGCCACAACATCAGCATCACTATTAAAACAGAATTTTAATAAATGCTAGAGCTATTAATAGTAATTACAGAAAAAATATTAGATTATTAATTTACAACTTTGGTAGAAATATTGTAAATTAAAAATAAAATGAAATTGCCCAAATAATTTAAGAAAATACTACTTCCTAATTTTAAAAAATCATTATCATTAAAATTTATCATTATCAATAAAATTAGTTATCATTAAAATTTTCAAAAAAAAAAAAACTTTAGCTTCATTGCTGTCATTAATTGTCCAAAATAGAAAATTTCATCAAAAACTAGCCAAAGATTTTTGAGAATTTTTTGAACAAGAAAGCAATTAGTCAATTTGAATCATTCAAATATAATGATGGTATAAACAACCCAAAGCGTGCTCAGCAGAAAATAATAAACTATAACTAAATCAATCTAATTTACCTGACGATGATCCATTGATTGGATTGAAAACGTTGGTGTTAAGAATAAATCTCTCAGCGAGTGAACAGGTGTTGATTTAGTTATAGTTTATAATGATGGTAAATGAATATAATTGAACATGTTCCTTTGTACATTAAACATATTGTTAGTTGACACGTTCAGTGAAATAATCAGTTTATGATTCATTAACATTGTCATGATGTTATTGTTATTTTCATAAGATATAGTCCAGTCACTATAACTTCATGAATGCTTATGCAAGAAATAGTTTGCAAAAACAGCGATCTTTCTTAATAGTTGTCTCCAAAACTAAATTTATAATAATTAACAAACTTTCACATTTTTATTAGGCCACTATTGTTGCTTCTCCAATCAGATGTGTGATTTAGAGGGATATATTTTGTATTGTACAGTGATAAGGCGGCTACTTCACTACTACATTTCATGCACAAAGTTACAGTGAACAAGCTATAGATACATTTTTTTATTTTAATTTTTATGAAAATAATGGAAATAGTGATTTTATGATCAAACCTCACAAAAAATAAATTTTATAATCTCTTTGGTGATACAAGGGTCATTCTAAAAGAAAAGAACATTTTGATCTGACAAACCGCACAGTTCTCCCGCCACCCTCCATTGCCGCATCATGAACCTGCCCATGTTTTCGCACTAGTCTGACGCTAACAGTGAGCCACAACAGTGATCGTTTACTATTTACAGTGTGACTTTGAAATGTGTGACAAAATTAAAGATCCTGCCAAGTGCGAGGTTCATAGTGTAATATGGTTTTTGATTGCGAAAAAAGTCCGCCCTATTGAAATTTACAGGCAGATAACTGAGGTTTATGGTAATGTGATAAACGAAGCTTCAGTTCGAAACAAATGGTAGGGATTGTTGTCCAGAGGCATTGTGCTTCTTCAGGATAACGCACGTCTGCATGCTGCTACATCGACAAAAAACTTGCTTCAGCAGTTTAAGTGGGAAGTTTTTGAATATCCTTCTTATAGCCTGGACTAGGTTCTGAGTGATTACATCTTTTCCCAAAACTGAAGGACTTTTAGCCGGGAATCATTATGGAAGTGACAACGAACTGAAAGAAGCCGTTAATGACTGGTTAAAGAACTTGGTGGTAATTGAGTGTGCAGAAGGCACAGAAAAGCTGATGACACGCTATAACAAATGTTTAAATTTGTATGGCAACTATGTAGAAATATAGCTAAGGTATCATATATGTTGTAAAATAAGTTTTGTTTCATTATGTTAAATAAAAATATCTAGAGAAACAAACATTCTTTACTTTTAGAATGACCCTCGTACATTAGTCTGTGTGCAGAAATTCTATTACAACAAATTAGAAATGGCTTTTCAATGAAAACTAATTTATATCTTTAAAAATGTTGTTATAAATTTTCTGACCTTTTGAAGCAGCATTTCCTCCCTTCCAACCACCAGCAACACATATCACTGCATCAACTTTTTCTCCATTCAGCATCTTTTCTACTCCAGATGCAACTTCATTTTCTTGGTCTGTCCAATTATTAGAAGGTTTTACAACCACATTTTCATTTGCTTCATCATTAGCTGCCAGATCTATAGAACCTACCCACTGAAATAATAAATATAATTTACTCTTAATTTATCATTTATTTTAAAAAATAATAGTAATCAGAAATTTTTTTAACTTTATATACAAAAGCAAAATACATCTAAATGAATAAAAATATTTATACTAGTATTTCTATTCTTATACCAAACAGTCACAAGGAACTGGATTCTCAAACTGAAAAGTAAATTATAAACCAAGTATTTTAGTCTTAGTTCTACCTGTGCACTTGCACATCATTGGGTAACAAGTTCTCTCCAATGGCATCACCAAGGTATGTGAACTGCATCAGGTGATACTATCAGAGGGAGTGAGTGACACCATAAAAGTTTTGTACAATGATTCAGCAAAAATTATTATTATTTTGTAAAAATATCCCTGTAGTTAGTTATAATAATAAACATTTTTCTTAAGATAGCCTTGGTAAAGGTTTCTCCAATGCTTAGGGCACATTAACCATTTGGTTACCCAAAATGTAAGGAATTTAATTTTTCTGCTGTCTAAAATTTACATAACTTTATAGAACATTATAAGCTCAAATCAATTTTTAAAAACTTTTTAAAAAATATACATACTTAATCTGTAGCTATATAGACATTAACCATACAGAGATTATTTTTCAAGCAATCCACAAAACCACTTATATTTCAAACCAAGGCTTTTCACATATTTTTATCCCGTTTGTCTTACAAAATATTTCACAATATCTTATTTACACATTTTAACAATTATTCAGGCATGTTACCAGCTAGATTTTAATTGTACACAAGTATTACAGTTTATTCTCTTTATTCATTATCTTTAATCTTAACAATTTCTAAAAGCTCATATAATTTGTTTTATTTGATTGCATTCCATTTTTAATACTTTTAATGAATCTTTCACAATTTCACAGTTATAGTTTATACAATGTTTAGCCACAGCTGAATTCTCATAAATTATATTTTATCATGTTAATATGCTCCTTAAATCTTATTTTCAATTTTCTTTTTGATTCTCCTATGTAAAAATGGTTACAGATGTAAGAAAATTTATATACAGTGGTGCCTCGTATAACGTATGCCTCGAATAACGGACACTGCGAATAACGGACTTTCTGTTTGGCCGTTAGTGACTAGAGCAACGGACTGGCTGCAGACAACGGACTTTCCGTTTGGCAGTTACGTGAGGCGACCAATGGACTTTCTACGAACCAGTGCGAATGATGTTTCCACTCTTTTGCCGTTGCCAATGACAATCTGCTATTTGTAGGATATATTAGTATTATTAGAATATATTATCAGTATATATGAAGTACAGAACGTTAAGATTAGGCTTGCTCCGTTGTTTATTAGGTACATCAACACAGTGCAGGGTATTTACATTTATTCAAGTGTTGTGCAAATCATAACTTCTAAAAAAACAGAAAAGTGATTTCAATTGAAACAATGCAAGAAATCATCAGAAAAAGTGAAAGTTGACAAAAACTTCTTTGTCGAATGGGGAGAGGTTCAGGAGTTTACCAACACTCATTATCCAAATAGAGCTGAGGCCAACAGTATCAATGACTTCTACAATGGCACCCTTGCCCGTCATTTCCGACAGGTATTGAAAAAGAGAGAGAAACAGACCACTTTGGACATGTTTTTCAAGAAGCCAGCAGGGAAAAAACAAAGAATGGAACAAGAGGATTTGACCCTGCAAGCTCCGGTAGCCTCTCCTGAATTTGAATACGTTTATAAAACAATAAAAAAAAGACTCACTGCAATGTGTAAAACGTCTGTATCTGTATGAATGTGTGAATAAAATGTTCCTCCACTTCCTCCTCACATCTGACTACCCGACATAATTTGTGACTGCTCCATTTTTATTTTTTTTATGCTACAGTACGGTTATTTTATGCTCGGAACGAATTATATGTTTTAACATGTATTTCTATGGGAAAATGTGTTTCGTATAACGGACTATTCACTTAACGGACGTGCACCTGGAACGGATTAAGTACGTTATACGAGGCATCACTGTACTATATTACTTTTTTTCTGCTACACTGTTATTTTTATTATTAGATATTTGGTTTTTTATTGTGCTATTATAATCCTCTCAGCAAACTTGTCTGACCCCTTCTCGTATAAAATCGCCGCTTTCTGTGCCCTAACCAGACAGGCATACACTCATCACACCTATAGGCATGCCGCTACAACATATCGAAGATATAGTGGAAGAACATGGCTACAGAAGAAACCTGGTATTTAGCCTCGTATGTAGCAAATTGGTTGGTGTAGGCCTGTGCCTACACCAACCAATTTGCAGCACACAATGGACCCAACACCCAGTCTGCTTCTAACAGGAATGAACAACATATCACAGGCTCCAGATGCACCATAGTACAGTTCAATCAACATTTGAAATCCTTATACAAAGAGAATGCAGGCCAGAGTGGCACAGAAATTGAATACAAGAGATCTGGTACAATATATAAGTTGCTACACAACACAAAAGATAAAATGGATCAAACCAGATCCCATGAGTGTACTCTATACCTCTAAGAGATGAGATGACAGATTCCAAAGGTTATTGGTAATTTGGTTATTGGCTCAACCAAATGATCAATACATAAAAGGGTACGTGAACATCAATACAACCAGGCATACGACCACCTTGTCCACGTATACTATCCACCTGGAAGTACATGCAAACCTCCAGAACAGCATTTGACCAGCGTTGGCATAATTAAAACAATAACACCAACTATACCAGAAAACTGGAACTGTAAATGTAAATAAGAAATTTCACCTCAATGCAAAATTTCCAGAAAAGAAATTCAATATTCTAACATTTTCAGCCACTATTTCATCAGCCCTCATCAGGAACTGTAGAATGGAAAAATTGTTCTATGAATAGAATGCCTTTGTGTTCTAATTTTAAAAGTTTCAAATACGTTCAAATAAAGGCTGAGACATATGTTATATGACATATGAGTCTAGATAGTATTTCCATGCATTTGGTACATGAATGGCATCCATGTTGATGCAGGCCCCATTCATGTCCACCCTGTAGGTCTCTACAGCTTCTAATGTTATAATGTTTTGCAGGTCAAAGACCCTGTGTATTAGGGTAGCTTGGTCCCAACAGGGGAAAATCCCCGGAACGTTGGCATAACGTGTCAGAGCTGTATTAATGTTTCCTTTTTGTACATCATATTTGTGATCATTTAACCTGGCCTGCAGCAATCTGTACGTGGATCTTATATATGTTACTATTCTGTGGAATCTATCGTCATGTAGTGGGATGTGGTATACTCCTGGTGCTTTAGTGTCCTCAGTGCCATCCTTTGCTTTAGACAGAAAGAGGAAAATGTTGGATTTTCTTTTGTACATTATATGTATGGAAATTTTGAATTGAGGTGTAATTTCTTATTTACATGTACAATTCCAGTTTTCTGGTACAGTTGGTGTTTATTGTTTTAACTTCCAGAATGCCAAGTTAATCAGGCAGGCCTTTCAAGCAGATCATATTCGTAGTCTGGAGACATTGGAATTATATATAAAGTCAGCCTAACTGGAAATTGTATTAACTTTAAGGACTGCAATATGGTGGTACATGCATGGAAGTACATGTATGAAAGAGATGAGCAAAGTTAACCCATTATAATTTCATTTTATACAATATATACGACTTAAAAAATTGATATAAATCACATAATTGCATTTTTACAGTTTTAGTCAAACAACTGTATAAATTTGCCTCATATGATGAGATATTCAAAATTTTAAAAAAGTGATTTTCGAACATCATCATTCTGACATTCGACTTTGGAAATTCGGTTTCATTAAAAATCTTGAGGCAGGTCTTGGTGAAGGCAGAAAATGTTAGCGTTTTCTTTGAAGTGCTGTTACTAGATAAAAGGTTTCTTTGTATTTACTTTACAAGCAGCATTGCTACAACAAAGCATGACCTTTAATGTAATGGGCCCTGAATAATAAACTCTAGAAATTCAAACAAAGGCAGGACATATGGGGGCAGCTACGTAAAAGCAGAGTATAAGTCAATTATTAGCAGTTGTTCTGAAGTTCTGAATAGCAAGTTTTGCACTCAGGTAATTTATTACATAATTCATTAGGTAATGCAAATTCTTTACCAATTAATTTACCAACAAATAAATTTTGTTGTATAACAAATCTTTGAACCATTCCACCATAGTTCTAGTGAAGACAATTGGTCTGGAAATACTCCATGAGTAATCAGATCACAGTAGAAATGTGATGCCATCATGCAATATGAGTGTCATTTTGAATTTTAGAAATCCTGTTTACAACAAAGATCTTCAGATTTATTAAAGATAAATATAATCAACTAAAAAACAATGGTAGAATCAGACCATAAGTATACTTCATTCAATTTACTTAGCTTTAATAATGACAAAACTTTCTTCAATAAACAAGAAAGTAATAATTCACTATACAGTACTAATTTAGGTACAAATTGTTCTTTAATGGAAACCAGTCTAGACCTAGATGAAATCAAAGAGATGACAACTGAATCAAATATGGATTGGATTATTATTGTTTAATGGCAAGAAGGCCTCATGGGTCATGCTGCACTAACTATTTGGTTAAGAATTACAATACATAAAATATAAATTGCTTTTAAAGGGAGAAGCAAATATAAAATATAAAATAGTAATATGCTATACACATTAAAATGATAACAACAAAAAGCCTTAAAACAACAGTAAAATAAATGAACAAACATGACACAGACCTTTAATTACCAGTAACAAATTAGCAAAAACTCAATGTTTTCAGCCTTCACCAAGGCCTGCATCAGATTTTTTAACAAATTCCAGATTGGAATGTTAAAACAATACTATTCAAAAAAACAATTTTAAATTTTGAATAACCCGTAACATAAACTATTGGCTCAACTAAACAATCAATACAAAAAAAGGGTATGTGAGCATCAATACGACATTTAAAACAACAAGCATACCACTGCGTTGTCTGTATGCCACTGACCCAGAA